TCTTGGCAATGGGCATCCTCGGTTCTTTGTGGAGATACAAGAGCCCTTATCCTCGTTAAATGGCTCCGTGGTCTTTGGGGAGGGGCTGTCGCAGGTTTAGGAGTGGATAAACCGAAACACCAAGCCCACTACCATCAAGTCAACCCCGACTCAGTGTAATGGTGATGCATCGGGCTGAAATCCGCATGGTCAGCAGTTCAAAACCACCAGCAGATCCGCGGGAGAAAGACTGAGCTTTCTACCCCTGAGTCAGCATCGACCCGATGGCAGTGCGTGTGGTTTGGGTTTGTTGGCCTGGCAGGGTGGCTGTGGGGATGTACCAGAGATATTCCAGGCTGGTCAGCTCCCCGACGGCAGCCTGGAGACTCCAGAGTCCTGCCTTGGCCGCAGAAGCCTCGGCCTGCCCAGCCCCTGGTAAAGAGATTCTTCCATCCATCTGAGTGGAATGATGGGGACAGAGGACTTGGCTCAGGGTCTTCCAGCTAGTGAGTGGTTCTTGCAGGGTGGAGAAGCCAGATCCCGCTCAGAGGTGAGGTTGAGCTTAAGGTGCATTTGCCTCGCTGCCCTGGGTCCCACAGGGTGGGGGCGGGTGGGTAAGTACTAGTATGGTCAGTGCTCATCCCTGAGCTGACGGGTAGATGGTGAGTGGGTGCCGGCGCCCCAAGACACTCTGCCGGCATGTGACTCCCAGACCTGGCCAAGCTCCCCGTGGGCAAGTGAAGCCTGCAGGGAGCTTGGCTAGCGTTTTGCTCGGCCTAAAGCGCTCAGTACAATGGGTCTTTAATGCCTGTCGGGAACTCCCAGAATCGACTTCCCAGTGAGGCTTGCCTAAGCTCCTGTCTTCCCTACCCAACTCTATGGAGGGGGTTCCCACTCCGTTGGAGCTGTAGGGAGGCAGGTGTGGGACCCGACAGCAGGGCTCAGTGTGATCTGCATGGTGCAGCGATGACGCCAGAGCTGGCAGGGCCTGGGTGGCCACAGGTGACCTGGGTGCCCTCTACGTGACTGGCAGGAGAGCATGTGCCTAGGAAGCAGAGCCAGACGGCCGGTCGAAGGCCTCTGATGGGTTGGGATGGCTGAGTGTGGGTAGGCACAGTGAGCCGGGCCACTTGGAACTTTGAGAGTTGGGTCAAAGACAGGGACTCATCTGGAAAACAGGGGAGTCTTTATAAAGGGCTTGAACTAGATTTTAATATTTTCTGCTTTCTTCTTGAAGTTTTTATCTGTTTTACTTTGTAATTGTTATTAGGGTTTTGTATTTCTTTCTTTCTTCTTTTTCAATGCTTTGTTGTATATGAAATCCAGGAGAGGTAAATCTATGGAGACGGCATGGTAATTATATAATCATTTGTCAATTTGAAGATTAAGAGTGAAGGGGTGGAGTCTAGCCCGTCAATCAGATCATAGCCAATGAGGCCTCTGTGTGGGCATGGCCTTCTCCTGAGACTTCTGGGAAATCTGTTTTTCCTCCTTGGAGGTGGAAGACACCTCTCTCTTCTGATAAGGCTGACTCCCTGTGAGGCATCCATGAGGAGAAGCCACATGGAACGACCCTGATACTGCCCTGGGAACTGGAGAAGCCACATAGAGAGCCCTGCCAGCGCTGAGGTGCTTATAATGCCACTGGATCCAAAGACTTTCTCCCCACTGGTCTGTGATTGTCCTGCATTCAGCATCATTTCATGTGTTTTGTGAGTCTGAAGAGAAATGTATAGATTGGTATCAGACTATGGGCTAATATCAGACTTATGGACTTGAATCTGGACTGGGCTGGGATGTTTCCTCAATATTTAACTGCTCTTATATATAAACCTCTTTCTTATTCACATACGAATCTCTATAAATTTGTTTCTCTAGTCTACCCAGACTAACACAGGCAGTAACTGGATTAGCAGTTCCTTGAGATATGGGAGGGGCGAAACTAATAATGATGGGTACGAGAATGTTCTAAAACCCATTGTGGTCGGTGATGCCTGTAAAGCTCTTCTCGACAGGGCTGAACCATTGAATTGTATGATTGCGAATGATATGCCAATAAAGCTGCTACCAAGGAAAGATAAATAAATAAGGAGAGAATAGATGATGGATGGATGGATGGATGGATGGATGGATGGATGGATAGATGATAGATAGATAGATAGATAGATAGATAGATAGATAGATAGATAGATAGATAATCTGAACTGGCAAAGAGAAAATGGAGCCCAAGGGTGAGTTCAGTTTCACACCTGAAGGGTGGTCCGGGGCCCTGGTCAAAGGAATTCTGCCAGTCTCAGTGCAACCAGCAAGCCTGCTGTTTTTTATGACGTTGGCTTTGCTCCACATTCTGTCCACCCCTCCCCTGCCCCCAACCAGGACCTTCTCGGTGATCCCTTTCAGAGCGGTGGGAGCCGGGCACCATCTAGCTCTTCTGGTCTCAGGGTCACGGAGGCGGAGGTTCATGTGGTCCCTCCACCCACCAGATTCATTCTTTCCTTGGGCTTTGGTCTTCTTGACTCCCAATGGCAAGAGGTCAATAGTTGCACATGAGATGGCCACTCACCAACCTTTAAGACCCCGGTCCCTACTCATCAAAGTTTCTCTGATTCTTCTAAGCTGCCACCAGCCGCCGCCACCACCCCTGCCCGCCCAAGCTTGCCAGTTAATAACCCCATCATTGGACTCAGCCCCATTATCAATTCTCTAGCTTGCCACCTAGTGGCGAAACTGCAAGCTCCAGGCAGCTGTGGAACAGCAGGGTTTCCAAGACAGCGGCTCTCCGGATGAAATGGCCGGACTTTGAACGTTGCAGGGAAAGGTTTCTAAGGACAAACAGAAGCAACGGTCCAGACCTGTCTGGGGAGCACTTCTAAAAGCCCATGTCCTCCTCCAGGTCCAGTCCTTCCCCCAGTGACTCCGGGCAGGGAAGTGACCTGGGGACAGAGCCATACCTCCCAGACAAAAGGCCTGAGGAGGCCTCCCTTGCTCTAATAGCTGCCTGTCATCAACGCAATTATTCACCAGCCTGATGTACCTAAAGGTCTCTCTCCAGGGGCACGCTGTGCTGTGCATGCGGTTCCTAAAATGGGGGCGGGGCGAGCACGGCCACCTGTTTTACCTGGAGGGTCCCAGAGGGCTCAGAGAGAGTCATTTGCTGGCTGAGATGGGGACCAGGCTCCCCATGGAGAAACACCACCCCCCAGCGAGGCAATTAGCAGGAGGAGCCTCCTGAGAAGGGACTTGGAGCTCCTCCTGGCCTTTGCAGCCGCTGGGCCTCCGTAATTGGAGGCTCCAGGAGCTCCTCCATTCCTGTCCTTCTCTAGAGAACAGGCCACAGGCACCCAGAGCAGCTCCCAGAGGCCTCCTCAGCCAAGCAGTGGCTTAATGAGGGCCTCGCCCAGTGGGAGAGGAAAGGAAGACACACACCCATACCTGTGTGCACATGCATGGCCCCCCCACAGACATGTTCATACCCACACACCCCGGGCCAGACACAGCCCCTGAGCCCTGATTTTGCCCACCTCACCCCCACCCCCCAGGCTCATTAGATCTCAAACGCCAGCCAGAGAGTGTGGCCTGATGGGAGTTGTGAGGACATGAGGTTGTGCAGTGCAAACAGCCCCGCCTCCCTCACGGGGTGCTTGTAAGGCTCAGAGATCATGGAGGGCACAGGGCTGAGTAGATGTCCGTGGTGTTCTGTGAGATGGCTCACTTACTGCTAGGCGGGCTGAGGAGTAGATGGATGGAAGGGTGGGCGAGTGGGGGAATGGGCCTATGGGTGGGTGGGTGGGTTATTTAAATACATGGATAGATGAGTGGAAGGACATGTAGACTGTGGGAAAGTAGATAGATGGGTGAGTGTATGGGTGGATGGGTGGGTGGTTAGGTAGGTGGGTATGTGGTTAGATGGGTGGATGGATGGACTGGTGGGTGGGTGGATAGATGGATGGATGGACCTGTGGAAGGGAGGAGGACAGACGGATGGGTAGATGGGTGGTTGGATGGACTGATGGATGGGTAGACAGACTGATGGGTGGATGGATGGATGGATGGATGGATGGATGGATGGATGGATGGATGGATGGATGGATGGACTGATGGATGGGTAGACAGACTGATGGGTGGGTGGA